CTCCAGAGTCCCAATTATAGAGGTAAACTTTGAAAAAATCCTAGAAATCAAAGTTCATTTAACCAGGTTCGAAAAGTTCCATTAACAGAGGTAATTCGATGAAAAAGTGCCGGGATCTCATTGTAGTTCTTAATAATTGAGGATTCTCACTTATCCAGGTCCCATTTAACCAGGTTTCACTGTATTAGTAACTAGATAAATCGCAAGCTTAATAAAACTTTATCACTTCGCGAGAGTGTCCGTATTACTTTGCATCTTTTCCCCTTCCTACGTTACGGCGGACTTTCCGTTGTTACGCAGGGATGTCAATAAAGGGTAACAAAATACATTGCGAAATGTTAATTAAGTTACTTAGGTGAAATACCTATTCTGACTATGATCGACTAACCATATTTTCGTACCTATGTGAGTTCTACGATGCCTAACGCATGCAACTTGCAGGCTATTCGTCGGGAATTGCGTTGCTTGGCTCGGAAGAAAAGGTAGATAGTGGAAACAACAAATAAACTTGAAATAGGATTCATAACAGAAATGTAATCTTAATCTACTTAGTTAAAAATTTTGTTAGTAAACAAAGTTTTGATTTCAGTGTTTTGTGTTATTAAAACTTAAAATATTTTAAATACAAAAGACAAGTATAGGTATGTAAGTAGATACTTGGATAGTGAAGTAAATTTCAACTACATTTTGTAATAAAGTTCGTTCGTAGGTATTAGATAAATTATTACTTAATTCTTTTTTGCTATAAGTATAGGTAGGTAGGTAGCAAAAAAATTGAATAAATTCACGTTTCATAACTTCCTACAAAAATCCTTCAGTAACTCAAAGAATGATATACCTATCTGAAATATTTTGTTGGTCATTAAGCGTTTATCCACGCAACAATTGTAGTAGTAACGACGGTTTGCCATATTAAAAATTATCATATAGATGGGTAATATACATAATATATATAATTTTTAAATTACATTAGTACTTTTTCAACTATTTTATCTTACAATTAAACATACCAAACCCTAAACAAAAACTATTTCAAACAAGTATTTAAAAAAATATTTACGTAAACAGCGTTAAAAACTTTAACATTCAATCGCCTAGAACGCGCTGGGCCCGACTGCGTATTATACCGTCAGTGACTCGTGATTTTAGGTAATTATTTCACGCATGTAGCAAGAGTGACAGAGGCCTGACTTGGGTCCCATAACTCAGTCCCGCGCTGATGGCTAGTCTACTGACTGAGACTAGCCACCGTGACCGAAATTCGGTCTGGATGATATTATTATACAAAGAAAAATCCTTTTATAAAATTTCTGGCCTTCCGGAAGCTGATCTATAAATATAATGAAAAGATTAAGCAATATGAAAAAATAATGCGAGGCAATTGCAGCTAAGTTAGCTTTGAGTACAAAAACGTGTAACCTCGTGTGTATACATGCTTCGTCTGTGGGAATTTCGTCCATCGAGGCTTAGTTGTTAATACTGCCCTCAACTCTCTTCTCAAACATAATTCAACTTCATTACAATAATCCGATTTATAAGTAAAAATGTGGATATTAATATTTTGGTAAGGTTATAATATAATACGTACATATAGAAGCTTTTTATAGGTAACAAAGCATTCTATCTCTTCTTCTCAAGAGGTTCTCAGGAGTGACAACATATTTTCTACTTCATTTTGATCGAGGATAGATAACATGCCACTTAGCATCCAATTATTATTAGGTGGAATTTTTGCTCATTTGTCACCTTTAATTTAACAAAATCTCTGTATGTTTCTATACATATATCTATACAATATGTAGCAAAAACCCTGTGGGTCCCGTTAAGTGTGTTATTAGAATCAGTATCCAAGCGCATTTTTTTCTTATTTCAATAACGCATGATATGAATGAAAATTGATTGACTAAAAAAAAAACATCCAAAAATAGATGACATAATGCCTATACGAAGGTTTTCACATAAAGAAGATCATCCATTATAAAAACTACTGGTGAATATAGGCTTACCCTAAGGATTGCCTCTTACGGTTTGGATATTCCTGATTATTTTGGTAGTGAATTCTTTTAGTCGCCGCCCGACTTTAAAAGTCTAATGCTGGAAATTTGCCATAGCTGCTACACTGAGCAGGCGAAGATGATACTATCAATATTCCGTTTCATTTCCTTCGTTTCATTGGATGAAAAGGGGTTGTAGATTCTTCTAAAGGGCTACTACACGGAGAACTGCGAGAATATCTATAGTAACTAGTATGAACAAACAGTGAATAAGAATGATATAGAAAATTTAAATTTTGTCACATATCAATGTTTCTAAGATGCTAGTATTATTGCGTAATTACTAGTTCATACTGCTTACAGACCCTCTTATAAACACGTATTCAATATATTATATAAAATAGATACATTTTAACACTTTGCACATTTTAACATTTTTCATTTATCACAAAACACATTTTAATAATGTTATATTATTAGATAATCATTACAGCCATTCAAACGCCTACTCCTGAACATAGACCTCCCAAAGAATGCCACAAAGCACGGTCCTTAGTCCCCTGCATCCATCGATTTCCTGCATGTCTCACCAGGTCATCACTACATCTAGTGGGGGGCCGCCCCACACTTCCTCTACCGGTACGAGGCTGTCACTCGAGAACCTTGCTTCCCCATCGGTTTTCGGTTCTACGAGCTATATGGCTGGCCCATTGCCACTTCACCTCACTAATCCGTTGGATTGTGTCGGTTACTCTGGTTCTACTGCGGACATCTTCATTTCTAAGTTTATCACGCAGAGAAACCCCGAGCACAACCCTCTCAATAGCTCGCTAAGTGATTTTGAGCTTCCTCATATGACAAGTAAGCCCTTCACGCACTGGTTGTACAATCTCGTTTTCAAGTTTGGAGATATACCTGACGAAAATGTAAGTCGTAATCTTTCGAATAATGATAAAGTTCCACATATGAGTATTAATAGTTTTATACCTTCTATTTATGTTATACATTAAAGTAGTCTGTTTACATATACAAAAGACGAGCACTGTTATCTGAATTATAAATAGATTTATGTTGTTCAGATGCAGATGTCTCACCATTAATTGTGAACTAAGTTTACAGCTTAATTGTTTAAATTTAAAACTTAATTTTTTTTTAGTTTCTCATCTCATCAACATCTGGATTTTTCTTTACTATTGAACACGTGATAAGTTATGAATTAAAATTACCATTAATAATTTCATTAAAGAGGTGAGAGGCAAGTGGAGATTAAAGTCAGGTTGCTCGCCTGCTTAGCCCATGAGTTACGATGGTATAAAGTTTCGTCTTATTTAACTTTTGTAGATCAAAGGACAAATGGATCATAATGATAAAGGCGAAAGGTCTTTTGAAGATCAAAGTTCAAAATGCACGAAGGCCTTAAAAGAAAACTTATAATGATTTCGTATCCTGTCCGCTGTATCCCGCCACAGGGTCTCTTGCTGGTTCTTCCCAGGGCAGAGGTACTTCCCGAACCAGTGATAAACATATTAATAAGTAATATGTAATAAATATATACATATTTTTGAATTAAAAATATTCTAATTTATTCTATTATAGCGAACACTGATGAAATTATTTTTTTTTTACATATTTTAAAGCTTTATATTTACCAATATTATATTTCGATGTTTCGTCTATCTTGTAATATCTAAGTTCATGGGACACTGAGGCACAGAACACTATTACTCTTAGGACTAAGGTGTTAAAAATCCATATATGTCACAATACGTTACACAATAGGCCAAGATACACTTCGGACCCCTAAGCCGGTGCAGTAAGTATGATTAAGTTTAGCTCAGATCCGTGCGAAAAATTATATGGTGTGTCTTATTTAGTTCTAAGAGCATCTTCTCCCGACGATGCCTCGGTTAGAGACGAAGCACGTGTCTTATTATCGACGATGTAGCGTTTTTCTTAGTGTAGTGGTACTGAGTATAGCGGGGTAAGTGCTTAGTGCATGCAATATGGTACACCACTATATTTTTCAGCTTATTAATTTTCAGATTCATAATATAATGAATTACCGCAAAGTAATTCCTGATTCTATTACTTAATCTTAAACTTGGTACTGTTGTAGTTTATTACAAAAAATATATTGCATTTATTTACCAACATTTATTATTTTAATATTAATAAATTAGTAAAAGTATATAGTATATTAATTTATATGTGGTGGACCCACGCTGCAGCCATATTGTAGTTGTAGGACGAATGCCGGGGTAGGACCACGCTCTCACATAATACCATAGCAGCTCAATGCTGCTGTGTTTCGTATGGTAAGTGAAGAGAGCCAGAGACTCCTTTTACTGGAAACACGACTTTCCACCTTAATCCTTTGAGGCGACAACGCATCTGTATTTAGATATTTAGTTGAGGATAGATATAGATGTCTACGAGCCTCAGCATCAACTTACCATCAAATCTACTGTATTCTCGTTTCCTTCCCTTATTTACATGAAAAAATCCATTTTTTATTAAGTTCACTAAAAATCAATCTGAAAAAGGTACTTATTTATTTATTTTCAGTGGCAAACGGTACTATCCACTGACTTTAAACATTCACGCAGTGTTTAATTTTAAAACCATCATGTCATCAACTGATACAGATTTTTTTCTTGAAATCTTATCAGTAATGAATTCAGTCCAAATTATCAAAAACAAAATGGCCGTCACGTGACGCCCGGCAGATGTGAAATATTATAGTCGATGGTAAAACGTAAAATTAATAAAAACCAATAAAGAAGTATGGAGTAAGGTAAGCAAAATAATATTAAAATTAAATACAGAGTGGTACAAATGTCAATAAAATATAATCAGATAGAAAGGCTTACACAGTACACAACTTACACAGAGAAGCAACGAAGTGTATAGTATATGCGAACGCACAAACATTAGATTCAAGAGCAGTGGCGTACATGAGGCATAACGACATAATAGAGCGTCATACCGTTTGTGATGGTTTCTATTCTATTTCACATCAAAATGCAATGAATAAAACCTACTTACCACAGATCGAACGAGCAGTTCAATGGTGAACCACACATTGCATATCAGCTCAATATAAAAGAACGCAATGTGCGGCTGACCGTTATCGAGCCACCCTGCCAAATTCTCGTCCATCGCTGTTGCGTTGTCGCCGATGTCTTCATCATCTGGATACGGCGTGGGCTCCAATACTCGAAGGTCTGGATGTGTTTTCAAACAGAAGCAGAGTACTGATACGCAGATGAAGAACACCGATACAACCGATATCACCTGAAAAGTAAAAAGTGATATATGATTATGTTTTGTTATTAGTTACGAATTCTTACTAAATAAATCTATACATACAATAAATCTGTAAAAAAATTCGTGTCTGTAATTCTAAAATTTTCTGGAAATACAAGCCCAGGGGACTAAATAAAGGCCACAGAAACCAAATTAGTGATTTTAGAATTGTTGTTTGTCTGTCTGTGTATTCACGATTCACGCAAAAACTACTGAACAGATTTCTATGATACGAGATTCATATGGTACGTTGTTTAAAGGTTACTATTTATTCGATTATAGAACACCAATAAAGGACGGTTAAGTATTTTCCTTCCTTTAGATGTTAATTTCTATATTTTATTATTGTTGTTAATATATTTTTTAAATAAATAAATATAATATTTTTAAACAAAGCATACAATTAGTGTTAACCGTCGCGTAATAAATAGAACCACGCCGACAATCTACGTTCGGTTTTTCAGAACAGTGCCATCTAACATGAAATACAAAAATCAGTTACATTTTGCATCCAGTTACTAATAGATTAAATAATATAAATAACTTACATTTATATGTTTAAGTAATTGATTTGAAAATTCTAACGTTCATTTTTTAGTTCTTTCGTTATTTTATTTAAATAGAAATAAATAAATTTTGTAGTAACTAATTACATGTACTACTTAAATAGATATCTATCTAAATCATAAAGTTAAAGATTTTTCTAAGCTTAGTTTCTAATCCATATAAAGTTTTTAGTAGTTATTAGTATTTTATCTATATTGAAACCGATAACACTGTAAGGATGTGGCAGAAAAAAAGGGCTGTGCCACTTTACAAGATGTGAAATATTTGACAGATTTCGTAGCGAGGAAGACAATTTCTTAGGAAACCCTAAAGGTTAATGTTTCTTTCTGTATTATTAGTTATATTTTATATAAATTATATGAGAAGTAATTAACCCGAACTATAAATATAAATAAAAGTATAAAAATTAAAAAAAGTACTAACAAGTGCAAGAAGTTTAAGATCAAAGCACTGAGGCATTGTTTATTGTATTAAATAATACTCTATAAACTGATAAACTATAATTTAAAATTAATTTCTTAATTATCTGACACTGTGTAACTAAAAACCTCACTGACGACATCTGGTAAGTGGAAGATTATTATTTGGTCAAAGTAACTTTCCTATAAGTGTACTTGATCAAAATTATTTGAAGTTGACGTCTCCTATGTGTATGTATGTAGTCATAAATTGACGGACCAAATTACAAGAGCTTTAACCTTCCGGGGGAAAAATAAGATTTATACTGGTATCCCAACCTATATGAACTCCCACCGGCAACACTATACACCTCATGTCATTGTGAATTTATGTCCACTAGAATTAGGAAAAAATAATTAAAATGCAAGCAAGCCCTTAGAGTGGTGGTAATAATATACAGCAGGGTAGGGTTGTATACAGAGGAGGCGTCAACTTCATATAATTTTGATCGAAGGACACTTACAGGTAAGTTACTTTGATCAAATAATTATATTCGTTGACGCCTCCTTTGTGTTTGTATACTATGTAGATGTTTAAAAATTTGATTACTTCATTTTAATTATTTACAGTCATAAATTATCATAATTAACAATGTACAACAAAACAAACAATAAGCATAATAATTTAACAAAAACATTAATAAATTATTGTTTATTTATTTTATACATTTCAAATGTTCTGAATTAATAATGGCTTCTTATAATAAAGAGAAAAAGTTTTGGATGTAAGATTGTTGTCTTTCTAACACTTTCTATATCATCAATACCACTTCTAGGACGAGAAGAGGATGAATGCCTGGTATTATGTACAGTAAAAAGTAATGTATTTTCTTGTTAAAATTCTTTACCTAACTAGCTGTTTGATTTATTGCAGTGATATTAAGCAGTTTTTCAAATTAACAACTAACCTACTAAATTTCATACAGTTTTAGTAACATACAAGTGATATTGTGAGGTAACTGATACAAGAGGCGTAATTAAAAGCTTCGCACAACCGACTTCAATATAAATAAAATGAGAAGATCATCAATGTATTCAAAGTTAATCAAATACGCATTATTAAGGACATTTCAAAAACCACTGGTCAGATCCCGATTAAATCTACATGGGATCACACTTGAAGCAATAGCTTTCAAATAAAAAAAAGACTCAACAAAATCGGCTCACCCAGAGAAAAGCTATGAGACAACACACATAAAACATTTAGACGAACTTAACTCCTCCTTCTTCTTGAAGTCGGTTAAAATACTCATATTTTCTCTTATTACTGTATATTTCTTTGCTTTTCTTTGATGAAATTCAGCTTTGTGAAACAAATTATGTTAGACTTCAGCTTTGATTGTATTCTAGTTTTTATTTATTTTTTTCTATAACACCAACAAAGAACTGTTTAACTTCACAGTATGAGCCTAAATCATAATAGGAAGAACAATAAGTAAATTTCTTGCTTTATCTACCACGACTTTAGACAATAGACATATTGTATATACAGACAAGGGCTTATTTTTATGCTTTACGTACATAAATACCTCTTTGACAGCACTGCCACAGCAAGGTAAGTTTAGATCACAGGAGATCTTACATAATAGTTGTTGACCAGGGTAAGAATTTTAATAAGTGGTTTTTCATGATTTAGTAACAGGCTTATGAAGACTAGACTGTCTATTCCTTCTTCTGTATTCTGTTTGAAGATTGTGGAGAATAGTGCATATAACTGAAGGTTGACCTATGAATTTTATGCATTTATATATTTAATTTAAATTTATCTATTAATTTTGGTTAAAATCTCATAGACAATCTTTTTATAGGTTTAAAAATTTGATTCCCATTTAATTTCGTGTGTTTCGTTTCCTGGATTCTTTGCATAAGAGAGAACTTTCGTAACTATAACAAACATATTAGGGTGTTATTTATGGGGCAAAAAAGAAATACATATATTTCACACGGTCAATTTTACAAGCTATGTCACTTGATGTGGTTATTATATGCTACCCATGCGGTTTATATATGATATAGCTGTAGTGTTATAAGAATTTTTAGCTATGGGGATTATAACAAATCGTTATGATCCAAAGCAAAAACTAAAATATGTTCAATATGTTATGTCTTACTTAAGAATATGTAGTTTTTTTTCACCAAAAAACAATATCACATTCATTATGAACTACAAGGATTCCATTTTATAGGCACACTCCGTAATTAGATTACTTGAAATCTGAATATGATTTTTCGTATTAATTTAGATTCAAAATTATTCTCTTTTGATATATTTTATTTCTTTGTATACATTTACCCATTAAAGATAGCTGGACAAACAGATATTAATTTGTCTATTAAATTACCGAATGTCTTATTTGATTGTAGTGGATAGTAATTGAATAATTGACTTATCATTCATGTGAAATATTTGTGTTTCACTACAAGTATGAAAATGCTATTATAATTTTTTATGTTAAGACCAAGTTATTTAAATGTAATCTTAAGGTATTGATTTTTTTTTAATTTACTTTTTAATCCAATTCACAACAATGCTAGAACTTTCCACTTTTTATTTTATGAATCTCTCATCTTTTCATCTATGTATATATCATATTATGGTATTTACCAATAAGTAAAAACAAATTTATGACTACTCTTGTTTTAATTAATTTTGCAGCAGTATTTAATACAATATTTTTTGACATACTAAACTCAATATATGTTAGAGGACATGCTTGACTCACATTAATATATTGTTGTCGACCTACTATGAGAAAGTTTTTTTTAAATAATATTTTAGACCATTTTGGAATAAAATAAGGTCAAGTGAATTTGCTTACCTCTTTAGCTGTGTTTACCTCTATTCTTTTTTCCCTGATGATTGGCCTTGGCGCCTGCCACATATTACTTGATAGTGTCACCTCTATTGGTATAAAGCAACTGCTGGAGGCTATTGCACGTCTAGTGAGTTTTTACTGATGGAGACAGGTCTTTCTGAATGTTTGTTTTAGATTTATGAAGATCCTTTGATCTTTTTAAATCAAAATTCTGTACCAAATAAGATGGGTTTCTTTAGGAGTTTTCTTTATAATCATTGGTTAGCTCTGATAGCAGTAATGCTGTTCTTAAAGGAGCCTTTAAATTGTATAAAGCACATAACAGTCTAATGCAGTTATTTACAGCATCATTATTTTCTTCACCAGTCTTCTTGAAAAGACCTGTACATGCAATATTGAAATTTGAAAGTATATGGCTCATTTTACACATAATCTTCTATCTCTGATTTGGCACTTGTTAAAAAAGAATGGAATTTGGAGAATTTAAAAGCAATTTTTACCTTAACACAAGATTGACTCATAAGTTTTTGGGTTGAGAATGCTGTATGAAACAGAATCCTTATCTTCTTCGTCACTTGAGCAAATAATTTTTCTCCTCTTTTGTCCTGAAAGTGAGTAAGGTCAGTTGTGAAAATAGCCTCATGTATGCGCCAGGGACTGTGGGTGATAACCCTTGCATACATTTTGTAGAAAAAAAAAGAAAAAAACATACGAATATTCGTGTGAAGTAGAATCCAATGCATCATGTAGCCCCTCGTGGCACCGCAAGGCAGATATGTAATGTACAGACTCTCCTTCTGTCTCATACAAAGATTTGTATTGCGTTTTTGTTACGCTATAAAAAATGATATTATATATATTTTGGTGTGAAATATTAACTTATGAATATTCATATAAAATGAAGTTCAATGCCTCGTGTACCCCCTCGTGGCACCGTAAGGCAGATATGTGATGTACAGACTCTCGTTCTGTCTCATACATGGATATTATATTGAACTTTTATTACAATGTAAGCAATTATGTTATACATATTTTGGTAGTAAATATGAATGTATCAATATTCATATTAAGTAGAATTCAATGTCTCGCATCAACTCAATGTGTCGTGGCACCGCAAGACAGAATATGTAATATGATGATTTTATAT